CACCCTTTCCATAAACTCTATCAAAGATATATCAAGTCAATATCTACTTCCATATTAAGTCAATATATGTTCAATGCATGCTCAATCCATAATTTGACCACATGTCACAATTTAAAGTTATCGAAACATAAGGTCACATGGACCACAAAATAAAAGTTTTCATAAAATAGAAAGTAGTAAGAGGTGGGGCATGCCACCCATGGGAGGCACATGTAGGCCCCGCCTTCTAGAAACATGGTGGGCCCATGTGCACATTGAGTCCCCATGATTATTTTTTTATATATTTAAAATTAATAAAATAATTTCTAGTGAATATTAAAACATTGTAAAATCAATATTTTTAATTTTATAAATCCAAAACATTATAAATAAAATATCCAATGGTTCATAAAAATTCAAATAATAATTCTAAAATATAAAACAAACACAATTAAATTAATTTGATGGAAAATGAATCCATATGATTTAGGAATTGTATCAACAATCACAGGGCACTCCACCTTCAACTGTGGACTACGGACCACACTTGCTTTATCAGACCGACCCAACATTTTTCATGACCCACAGTCCAAGTAAAGGCTTATTAGCGGGTCACCAAAGTTTGGCTGATGAACCAAGGAGTCGCAATCTCAGTCTGTGGATTTCAGGTCCTCCCCTAGAGACGAGTCAAGGTCACCTAGACCTGATGCGACCACAGCTCCTATGGTGCATAGGGGTATCTTTTGCACATGCATACGCTTCACCCTTAAAGGTGGATTTCTGGCTTTCCCGAACGATCTATCGGTATGCATGCCGTGTGATGACACATGGCCTGCGTCTCTGTAGGCCACCATCACACACAAAGGTTACACAGTCTCTCGGTTCACTCATGCGGGTATGTTCTCCGACCTCATCAAGGGCTAACTCATGAACCCTCCTCAGTTTGTTCTTCATGCCCAGGTAAATTGGTTTTTTCTAACCGACTGGCCTAGATCGTCATGCACAATTTAGTATTTGCAAACATCGTTTGTATGGTATGCTCCACAAGAGACCATACTCCCAATAAGTTCATGTTCCACTATATTATTTCATTTTACAAGCACTCATAAGGCCTGTAAAGGCCACATAAACTCAACAGGTGTGGGGTATAATAAGTTCGGTTAAGGTAATTTTCGACACTCTCTTTTTGTTTCTTGCCATATTTAATTATATTGTTTTTATATTCTCAAACGTAATAATTGTGTATATTTTATTTGTTTAAAGAAAATTAGTTTAATGGCATCAAGGTTTTGAAGATCTTGGATTTGTTAGTTTTATTTTCTTTGAAGCAAGAGTTATTGTAACAAAACCACTTGTAAATAATCTTTACCAAAAGAAAAGAAAAAAAAAGAAAATAAAGTGACAAGAACAAAAATAAAAACTATATCCCTTGACAACATCGTATTAGTCTTTCTTTCAAAACGGCATTGGAAGAGATAGAGAGAGGAGAGTAGTGTAACATTTATAAAGAGTGATCTTGTTGTATTAGAGATAGAGAGAACCAGTTGTATAGTCTAAAACTAGAGAGAGAGAGAGGGGAGGAGGTAATGAGAAGGATTAATTGCATTTTTTCTAATTAGGAGCTGGGTAAAGGGAGTTGAAGATTATTGTGTTTAACTTTGGGGAGCACTGGCATGCGTAAATCCAATGAAGGAGATTGGGTATCTTCCAAAGTTAACCAAGAATTATTACCTAGGTAGAGTGATGCATACATTAACATCTACATGCATGATCCAAGCTATATTTTACATTCATAGATCAAATATTTTAAGGCATACTGCCATTTCTGCTGCAACTATGTAAGTGTATGCACTGGAGAAAAATCTTGTGTGCTCAGATCTCTGCTAGCCTTTCTCTCTCTATTCCTGTTTCTCACTCTAAGTCTTCTTCTTCATCATACTATCTTGCTAAGGGTACAAGGAAACCTCAATCTGTTAGTTGAACTGTGGTTAGAGTGAAAAAAATGGTGGTTTTGGTGGTGCTTTCATGGCTGTTTTTCTGGGTTGTTATGGGGTGCTTAAGTTGTGTTGCTATGTTAAAATGGAATGAAGTGAGATATAGGAAGAAGGGGCTGCCTCCTGGTACTATGGGGTGGCCATTGTTTGGTGAAACTTCTGAGTTCCTTACACTTGGCATTGATTTCTTGAAGAATCAAAAAGCAAGGTCAGTGCTTTCTTCTCAATGGATTCTCTTCTTCCTTCCTTTTCTTTCTTTTTTTTTTTTTTTTTTTTGTAAGACTGAAAACTAGTCTCTTCGCATGAGTTGATATGAGCATGAAGCTGTGGTTTCACTTTATACTAATTTTTTCCAGGAAAAATTCTGTTTCTATGTTTGAATTAATATTTTAGGAAAAAGCTCGTGGTTTCTTTTTTAAAAAAATAAAAATTAAGGTGTAATGAATTTGAATGATGGATGGCTCAAGGATGGTGGTTTCTTCTTCAAAACAGGTTTCTGGGTTTAAATTAATATGAGATTATAAGGAATGGTGGCCTTTGTGATTGAAGTGGTTTTTGAGAGCAAAAAAATGGATTCCAATTTTTGACGTCTAAAAATTGGTTTTGTGTTATGTGTAAGATGACATCTTTTTGGTTTTTGGGATAACATTCAGCTTTGGTTTTTTTCAAAATTTTATTTTATTTGATTTAATTTATTTATTTTATTATTTATTTATTTTTTTGCGTAAACATATATGGGTTATTTTAAAGCTATCACACTATAGAGCAATTTATAATTGTCTCAACAAATTTTAGACACCCCTTTTAATTATAAAAGACCCTTACTAAAAAAAAAACTCTATATACAAAATAAGAGCATATAAGTGTCCATATTTTGTTGATTACAATTATAAATTAACCCTAACATAACCCAACATATATTACTTATTTATTGAATTATTAACATTATTATTTTGGCTTAACAATTTCTATGTGATGTGGTTTTTGAGCAAGGATTGGGATGAGCTCCATTAATGTAATTTGAGTGAAGGAAATAAGTTTCAATTGTGAAGAAGAAAGATGAAAGGTCTTTTGCTCGTTTGGTGACAAATTGCTTTCTGTGATTTAAATTAAAGAGGTTTCTGTGGGTTGAGCTTCATTTGATAAGAAATATGACTTCAACTTGTTAGATATTCCCCTGCTTTTCATGCTCCTTTGGGCTTGAAAACAGAGAGAGAGAGCTTTTCAGGCTCCTTTGGGTTTGGAAACAGAGAGAGAGACTCATCCTTATTTGCTCAAATGATCCCCTTTTTGCAGGTATGGCAGTTTGTTCAAGACTCACATATTGGGGTGCCCCACAATTGTATGCATGGACCCTGATCTCAACAAATTCATCTTCTTAAATGAAGGCAAAGGCTTTGTTGCTGGTTACCCTCAATCCATGTTTGATATATTAGGGGAATGGAACATTGCAGCTGTTCATGGCCCCCTCCACAAAGCCATGAGGGGGGTCATGTTTCAACTGACAAACAATAACATGATCAGAGACCATCTTCTCCTTGATATAGACCATTTCATGAGAACCCATCACTCCAATTGGGCCAACAGTGTCCTAGACATCCAAGAAATGACGAAAAAGGTTAGTTAGTGAGAGAGAGAGTGAAAACTTGAAAATAAGGCTTCATTATGGAGATCTGTTTTCTGATGCTCTGTTTCTTTTTGTGTGTAGATGGCTCTTTTGCTGGCATTGAAGCAAGTGTTAGGGATGCAGCCCGGTCAGATGACGAAAGTTTTGGAACCAGAGTTCCATAAGTTGATAGAAGGCATTATCTCTCTACCCATCAATCTTCCAGGAACCAATTATCACAAGGGTTTTCAGGTATTTTTGGTGCTCTTTGATTTGATTTGCTCTTTTCTTCTCTCTCTCTTTCTCTCTGACAAACACACACACACATCCAAGGTTTCTTTGGAGGACCCAATAAGAGTAACATAGATGTCATGAACACCCAGAATTGAATTATACAATTTTTCATGTTTCAGTTCTAGTCCACTTTGCAGTGCTTATGCTCTGTTTTTTAAATATTGCATTTTGTTTATTACTTGTTTTTAAATTTTGTTTTTTTGTGGACCCATAAGAGTAGCCTGGATTTGGATGTCATGAATCCAGCAAATTGGATTATACATTGCACAAGTTCCATTTCCTGTCCACTGCTTTCTCATCCTTTTTTTTCTTTTTCTTTTTTGAATTTGATTTATTTTTACCTTATATTTACAAAAATGAATATAGATGACTTGAAAAGAAATCTCAAAGTAATGTTGGTTATGACTAACCAGAATTGGTCTGCACAGTTGGATTGTTTTAATTGGTATGAATTCCTGTTCAATGAGAGAGAGAGAGAGATTATGAGGAAAACTTTTCTAAATGCACTCTTGCCAGGCTTATGAATTGATTTTATCATTGATGGTTGTTTGCAGGGGAGGCAGAGGATTTTGAGTTTTTTGAGAAAATTCGTAGAGGATAGAAGGGCTTTTAAAGAGACCCACACTGATATGCTAGATGCCCTTCTTAGAAATGAGGAGGATCCATCAAAGTTCCAAATAAGTGACGATCAAATATTTGATCTTCTGCTGGCCATTCTTTATGCTGGTTATGAGACTGTCTCTACAACTTCCATGATGGCTGTCAAATATCTCTATGATCATCCTAAAGCCCTTCAAAAACTCAGGGTAAGTAAATTTGTGCGCCCGCGCAAGGGCATGTGTGTGTTTGTGATAGAGAGAGCACTATCCCTTGAATTCCTGCCTAACACATGATTTGTCCCTTGAGTCCATTAGGAAGAACACTCTGCAATTAGAAATGCAAAGGGGCCAGATGATCCTATCACTTGGGACGATTACAAATCCATGGAGTTTACTCATGCCGTAAGCACTTGGGGATTTTTTTTCTTAATTTCCAAATGAAGTCTTTCACTTTCTGCTTTCTCTCGGCAGTAAATTAATTGCTTGAATTTGATTATGGTGAGGTACTCTGTTATGTTGCAGGTCATCTATGAAACAATGAGACTATCCACAATTGTTAATGGGGTGTTCAGAAAGACCACCCAAGACATGGAGTTGAATGGTTCATTTATTTGTTTCCTTTTCCTTCACATGCTTTTTCTACATAAAAAAATGAAATACAAAGTATTTGTGAATATGAAGCTGAATGTTTGCTTATCTCTTTTATTGCAGGGTATCTGATTCCAAAAGGGTGGAAAATATATGTATACGTGAGAGAGATCAATTATGATCCACTTTTATATCCTGATCCATTCACCTTCAATCCATGGAGATGGCTGGTATAATTCTCTCTCTCTCTCTCTCTCTATATATATATATATATATATATATATATATATATATGGT